TAACATTCCACCATACAAAAACTAGAACTCTTAGTTCCAAACTGATACCTTTTATTAGACCAACTGGAAAATGGCAAGAAAACTGTCCTTTTCTGCCAGCTTTCAAGATCAAAGTCCCTTCGTCGGGCTCTGGGAAAAGTGTAGATGGTACCAGATGGTAAAGAGTCCCCATAGGTAGGAAATAAACTTCATTTTTTCACAGAGGGAGCTGAAGCTGGAAGGCTGTCCCTCTGTGTCCATGAGAGTGTCTTTGTGAGCTGTGTTGAGTAGCCGTTTGATGTCTTGATCAGGTAGAATTTTTTTTTACCTCCCTGCCTGCCATCTGACACCTCCAGGGCTGAAAGGGACCTCAGGAAGTCTAGTCCAACCCCCTCCTCAAAGTAGGACCATCCCCAACTAGATCATCCCAGCTAAGGCTTCGTCTAGACTGGTCTTAAAAACCTCCAAGGATGGAGAGTCCACAACCTCTCTAGGTAACCTGTTCCAGTGATATACTACCCTCCGAATGAGTTTTTCCTAATAACTAACCTAAACTTCCCTTCCTGCAACTTGAGACCACTGCTCCTTGTTCTCTTATCTACCACCACCAAGAACAGACTATCTACCTCATCTTTTGAACCACCCTTCAGGTAGCTGACAGATGCTACTAAATCCCTGCTCAAGTCTTTTCTTTTCCAGACTAAATAAGCCCAGTTACCTCAGCCTCTCCTCAGAAGCCATGTGCCCCAGTTCCCTAACAACTTTCACTGCCCTTGGCTGGACTCTCTCCAATTTGTCCACATCCTTTCTGTAGTGGGAGGCCCAAAACTGGACACAAAACTCTAGATGTGGCTTCACTTGTGCTGAATAGAGGGGAATAATCATTTCCTTTAACCTGCTGGCAAATGATCCTGCTAATACAGCCCACTATGCCATTAGCTTGCTTGACAACAAGGACATACTGTTGATTCATATTCAGCTTACTGTCCACTGTAACCCTCAGGTCCTTTTCTGCAGAGCTACCACTTAGCCAGTCCCCAGCCTGTACTGGTGCATGGGACTGTTTTGTCCCAGGTGCAGGACTTAGCACTTGTCTTTATTGAACCTCATGAGACTTCTTTTGGTCCAATACTCAAATTTGTCAAGGTCTCTCTAAATCCTAGCCCTACCCTCCAGCATATCTACTACTCCCCTCAGCTTGGTGTCATCTGGAAACTTGCTGAGGGTGCATTCTCTCTCATCTTCCAGATCATTGATGAAAATATTGAACAAAACTGGCCCCAGGACCGACCCCTGGGGTACTCCACTTGATACCAGCTACCAATTAGACATTGAGCCATAGATTACTATCCTTTCAACCCAATGATCCAGCCAGTTTTCTATCCACCTTACAGTCCATTTATTTGATTTGTACTTCCTGAGCTTGCTAGAGGGTGTTGTATACCATATCAAAAGCTTTGCTAAAGTCAAAATATATCCTGACTAGTGCTTTCCCCACATCCACAGAGCCAGTCAGCACATCATAAAAAGCAATCAGGCTGGCCAGACATGACTTGTCCTTGGTGGATTCCTTAAGGACCTGCTCCATGATTTTTCCAGGGACTGGCCTCCCAGGGAATCCTTAAAAGGATCTCATGGAACCCTGGTTGAGAATCACTAATGCATACAGATGCTTTTAGAAAGACATTTTAATATCAAAATCCCTTCTTTGGCATTTACAGTTGGTAAGTATGAGTACATTTGCTGAAAGGAAGTCAATGCACATACATCCTAGATTTACTCTCAGGTGCCTATTCAGTATTATCTGTACTTACTGTTCTGTGGCTTCTTTTTTTCTTTCATCTTCTCTCTTCTTTTCTTGAAGTGACTGTTCAGTTGTTTTCAAGTTATCCTTCAACTGCAAGACTTCCTCCTTCAGTTTTATTTCCTGATCATTTAATTCTTTGATCTTTTTATCTGAATTCTTACATTTCTCTTCCAGATCTCTCACATTACTTTCTATCTTTAAAATAACAGAATCCTTTTTTTTAAGCATATTTTTTAAAGTGGCTGCATTATCATCCTTTGCCCTATAAACTTCTAAGAGGCTTTCAAGCTCTTTTATTTTTGTTTTGTAGTCGGAAATTTGTTTTTCAAGACACGTAATTGTTCTGCAGCGCTCAACTATATGTTTTTCAGAATCAAGGGTATTTTCTTGCAATTGTTCCCGTAATTGATCAACAAGGATGTCTTTTTCCTTTAAGAACAGATTACCTTGATTTGTAATCTCATTCAATTTCAGTTTTAGTTGACTGTTCTCATTCCCAGCATCACTGACTTGCTTTTGTAAATATTCAACCTGCTGAAGCAGTTCTTTGATCTTATGACTCTTTTGGGAAGAAATCTCAATAATCTTCCTGCACTCTTCCCAAATGCCTTCAACACTGCAGTAGAAAGAGCTTTCTTGCCCTAGATCTGGAGTATTAGAAACATGCAAATCCAAGCATAAGGAATGCATTTGAGTTTTCTCAGGTGTATTTTTGGGGGAATATTCCAAAAAGTCCCTTAGATTGACCAGATCAACATCCACAGTGTGGGATTCTAAATCAAGCTTACATACCTCCTCCATTTTTGACTGCATTGTTTTAATTTGTGATGCTTTCTCTCTGATATTTTGGCTAGTGGTTTCTATCTCTACAGTCATTTGCTTAATTTTTTTTTCTTGTTCTTTATTTATACCTTTTTGTACTTCTAATTCAAAAACTATTTTCTCATAATTAGCCTGAGACTGTTGGAGTTCTTCACTCAAGCTGAAAACCTTTTCTTCTTTTCTAGATAGCTGGAGGTGCAAGCCTGCCATTTGTTCACTGATGCCTTCCTTCTCTGTTTTTTCATTTTTAAGCTCTTCTTTAAGTGCAGTTAACTGGCATTCCAGGTTCTCATATCTTTCCTTTAATGCTAGCATTTCTGCATCTTTTTCAGAAATGTTTTGTTTCAGTTCTTTAAGCATACTTTGTTCTATCGCATCATCTTTACACTTATTTTGAATGCATCCTAAAAAAATAAAAAAGTAATCAATGTATAGTTCCAGCAAAATAAACTGGTAGTAATAAACCATGGTATATACCAAATGGCAATTTTTACCTCTTTGGAAGGCTTTGGGAGGTTTAGAACTTGAACGCTTAGATCTTGTAATGCTTTTAAAGCAATGATGCTCACCTTCTAATCTGTAGGCCAGATTCAGCCCACAGAGCCATGTTATTTGGCCCATGGGGTTCTCCACAAGTCTTGAAACAGAAGCAATAATGGAGATGTAGCAATTAATGCTGCCAGTGCTTCCCCACCACCAAATTGTCAAGCCCCATGGCCAGATGATAAGGCCCCATGGGCTGGATAGGACCAGTGCACATAGTGGGGGTGGCAGGCCTAATCTAGCATGTACAGGGCAATGAGTATTATATTTTTTAGAAACATTGGGAGATGTGTTTCACACAAAGTAATTTGGGGTAAAGTATACATCTTACATGGGAGGTCCTGTGGTTTGTTGACAACATAAATCAGTATTTGAGGGGGCTGTAAGTTTATAAGAGTACACATTCAAGCAAAAAATTTTAGCATCACAGGGTTTATAAGTACATGTATGTGCAAGGTATTTGCACGCGATACTGATGATTATGCAGTTTGTCATATTTATATAGAGGCATCACCGACTTCCTAATCCAGAATTTGTTAAAAAGCCTTCTACTTTTTAACTATTTCCCTGTAAAGCATTTTTTCCTCTTCGCTCACAGTTTGAAATCTATGGCAAGATCTATCTTGGCATATCTTAGATAAGCACCAGGTTAAGCAAGTGACAGCTTTGTGACAGAAGTGTCACAGACAGCATTAAAAGTCAGGCCTCAATCATATAGGATTAGGATCAGGTGCAAGAAATACCATTTCCCCTTCCATTTTTTTTTTTGGATTAAAAAAAAAAAAAAAAAACACACAACATTTATTTCAAGGACTCAAGAAATGAGACTTTGAAAGTGTCATGGATTTTCTATATTAACAATACATAAATAAAAAATATCCCAAAGAAAGAGGCAAATGAAATGGCCAAGAGATACAGAGCAAGAGCAAAACCTGGTCTGATGACCATATTACTAATGCATTGTAGTTTTATGTTAAGTGAAACTCAGAAAGCAATTCCAATTGTTTTAGCTATTTTACAATTGACAGCCAAGATCAGTCAGGGAGCCATTTTGTATATTAGTGACAAAAAAGTGACATGCAGCTTAGATGGCTTGACTAAGCAAAAACTCAAGACTGCTGACAGTCTTAAGGAAACAGGCTAATGGAGCCTGGAGTCTTAAAACCAAAAAAAGAGGACAAGGCCCAAGTATCAGCTCAAGTCACAAAGGTTTCCCCACGCCCCCCTCCCACATGCAAGCTTTTTTGAAAATGTCACATCTGCTTACCCAGGGGTAAGCTACCACTTTGTCTTCATTCATTTCTCTCCACTGTTCCTCATCACTGCTGTATTTTTAAGCAGACATTTTTAAATCTCCTTTCAGGTATGAATGGGTATGAGGCGTTATAAATCATTTGCTGCATCACAGAAGGTATTAGTTCAATATTCCCCCCTTCAACCATCTCACTTGCAAACCAAATCCTCTCCCCCCTCTGTCATATAAGCAAGCTAAGCACAGAGTTCAAGCAAGGTGAGCAGACAAGATATCAAAGCTGCATGCACCTGGCAATAACCAGGATGTTTGTTTACATTGTTTTTATTAGACATGAAAGTAGAAGAATTTCCATTATCAGGTTTGTTTGGGTTGATTTTTTTAAAATATTGTCTTGAATAGAGATGCTAATGTACCATGTGTATTCCTCTACACATTTACTATAGTATCTTGCACTAGAAAGTTGTACAGCACATACCGTCTAACAAAACATTATGTAGTAAACAAATGTTTTTCAGCCTTTTTTTGTAAATAAAGCATATGCAAGAAAATACTAGATGATTAAACAGCAACAAGCATGGCAGAAGGTAAAGTAGAATAGTTATGCCTATATACCCAAAGCGCAATCAAATAGGAAAAAAGGGAACTACTACAGAATTATTAGCAGACAAAGTAGCAGTTGGAAAAAGTAGAATATCTAAAATTATTTTATTTAAGAATTTAGTAGTAAACAGATGAGACATTCCATCTATAAGCCAAACAATGAAGAAACAATTAATGAAGAACAGTTACAGTTTCCATTTAGTATTTGACACAACAGATTTTCTCTTCCTCAGCCGATAAAACCTGCGAGCTACAATTTTCTGCTTTTGTTCTGGTTTAGAAGTCATATTTTTTTGGAGGGCTCCCTGCTGAACGGTGGTAGAAACAGTACCTCTCTTTGTAGGTGGCTCTTCCTCCTGAGTAAGCTTATTTTCAGAACGGCGTTTTCTTCCTACTTCCAATACATTCTCCACAAGTTCACTTAACTCAACGTCTTGTATTCTCTTGTTGATGTTCTCTTTTGCAATTTCTTTTTTAATAGTTGTTACGTCGCTGTCCTATGTTGAAGTAGAACTAGTTATTGTTTTATAAAATAAGCAAACACGTTACAAGCAAGTATTCTAAAAAAAAGCAAGTGTTTTGACAAGTATTATGAGAACAAAAATATGGCTATACATACATACACACACAATCTTTTTGCAGGTTTGTTGGGTTTTTTGTAAACAAAAAAATAAGAGAGAGAGTTGTAAACTGTTTGGGATTTCTCCAGTAAGTATACATCATCTGATATTTACTACCACAATAATACTTTGTAGAACAGGGAACAGAGTTTAAGGAAGGAAAGAGAAAGGCACTTAGAGCACTTACAGACATATAGAAAAAACACACATCCAGCCCAGGATTCAAAATTTACAGCCCCTGGGTTCCCGGTCCAGGTGCTGTCCTCTTCCTGCTGCCACCAGTCTTACAACACCTCCACCCCTCCCCACCACTGGACAGTCTCAGCTCTTCCCCCCTCGCCCCGAACTTTTGCCATCTGGCCCCACCCTTAGGAGTGGGGTGCTGCAGCACAGCCCACACGGCCAAGAAAACCCATGGTCAGGAGGCTTAGGGGGAAAGCCAGAGATTTTGTATGGTGAGGTGGCACCTATATGGCACAGAAAGGTGGGGATGTCTCATGCAGCATGGCAGAGCAGCAGTCGGGTGCACGGTGCAGTGCAGTACAAAGGAGGGCATGTGGTGCTGTCCAGGAGGAGGACCACAGTAAGTGGCGTGCAGCCCCATTTCAAGTTACTGAAACTTTCCATTTATGGTTAGATTCATTCCACCACAGCATATTTCAAATGCTTAAAATAACTTCATTCTAACCTTAGTTTGTCACCCGTGTTAACCTTCAGACTTTTAGCCTATACAAAGTTCTGGTTCACCCCGATACCCCAGCCCCACATTTTTGTTATCTGTAACTGTTGATGCTACAACTTCATACGTGTTGAAAAGCTGTAATCTGATTCCTATTAGAGCTATGATAGTTAAAAGAGACACTAAAATCATCAGAATTCACTTAACAAGGGAAAACTAAAACTTACATAGTTTTTCAAGGTAGCTTCTAAATGGGATATCAAGTCTTGCAGTTTTGCTATAACATCATCTTTTTGCTCTGTGATGTGAATAAGCTCTTGAATTTGTTTATTCTTTGTAGTCATTTTCTTTAAAAAGATTAAAGGTTATATTAACAAGATCTTTGTAACAAAACACATTCCAACAGGAGTAATCTGTTGCATTCAAACTTGCAACAAGAAGTATGCTATATTACTGGAAGATCTAGTCAGGTAAAAATGCAATAGAAGAATACAACAGGATATTTTATATGACTATAGTTGTATTAAATATTTAAAAAGGCAGGTGGTTAATTTTACTGCATTTACTTTTAAGAAAAAATTACCTCAGTGGTTTCATTAAGTTGTTGAGTATATTCACTCAGTTTGGCCACTTGGATGTTAAGTTCTGCAATGAAACAGGAATATTATGCATTAAAGAAGTTATAAGATAACAGTTTACTTATAATTGGTCTGGATAAAAGTCCTCCTATAGTAATGTTTTATGAATTTGCTCAGGTTAAAATTTAAAACCCTCACCGTCTTTTCTAGTATATTTTTTAGTGATTTAAAATGTATCTCAAGTTCTTAAAAGCAGCTGACCTAAATTTAAACTAAACAATTTGGAAAAAATGACATTTTATACAGAAGACCGAAAAGATATTCAAACTTGCAGTTCTGAAAGTAGGACACAGAAATAGAGTCCCTCATGCATCTTTATAAGCCTATGGAAGATAACATGTCCTGAGATCCTGATTCAGGTGCCTTTATTTGTTTTTCTAGCCTTTGGCATTTTACAGAAGTGTCTACACCACACTAATCCAAATGTACTGCAGATGCCCATAAGGGATGCTGGTACTGGCTTGAGAAGAGTGCAGGTCTTAAACTGGACAAATTCTGAACTCATTTCAATTTTCCTCTTTTTCATTCAACAAGTAGGCGCACAAGTCCCTTCAGAAGTAGGCTTTGCATCAATGGTTTTAAATGTTACAGAAGTGGTGTTCAACCTATGCCCTGCAGACTGGATGCTGCCTGTGCAAGTGACCCATCACCAACACATTAGCCTGGTTCTTGCCAGACCAGTGAGCTCTCCAAGTTCACCAGCAGGTCAGCACAGGATCTAGTCAGAGCTACTGTTTTCATGCAGCTCCAGAATCCAGGGAGTGAATACTGTTGCTGTTCAAATTCAGCAGTAGGGGGAAAAGAAGAGAAGAACAGCATCAACATTTATCTACTGAGCTCCACAACACAGAGAAATCAGTGGCTCTGACCAGAACCCATGCTGATATGCCAGCAAGTTGAGAATGTATGCAGCTGCAGAAATGCTTTTGTATGCAGCCCTTGGCCCCATTTCTGATTTTAATGTTTGGTCTGCTTGTAAAAACAATTGAACGCCACTGAAGGAACAAATGTACCCCCTCCCCTCCTCGCCCCTGCAAAAAAACAAACAAAACTAAACAAATAAAATACACAGCCTCTCTTCCACACAATTAAGCTCTGCATCTGAATTAGTCACATAGGCTAAATAATAGAAAGCTTTTTATAAAAACTTCTCCAGGTATTCCATCTGTCCCCAGCTCTCACCATGATGCGCTTCCATTGAGTTAAATAAAGATAACCTGCTACTTAGGTTAGATAGTAGTATCAACCTAAGATTTGCAAAGCTTGTCTATACACTCAGTGCAATTTTCAGCATTTATGGTAGTTAGATGCAAATGCAAGTTATCTGAAAATTTGACTGTTGTATAAGGATTCTCTCCAACAAGTCTTTCTTCAGTCCAAAAAAACAAAACCAAATGAAGAGACTGATTTGTTTAAAATTAAAAAATTCTACATAATGTTTTAGGACTGCATTAAGCTTTACTTCTTAATGCTTCTATGGTGCTAAACATGAACCTATTGAAATCAAGATTAAAATAAGAACAGATGCAATAATCTTAGCTGTCTGGAAAAAAAAAAAGATACATTTCATAGTAGTCAAGACAGCATCTTCAGCTATTTTAATACAGTATTTGGATCTTTTTCCCGTTGGGAAGTACCATTTTATTTCTCATGTTCAATCAATATTTTTAGTTCTTCTAATTTTATTTATGTTACTATTCAGCACAAATACTTGGCAGTTCAAATCCTTCTAAGCAGAGTAGGAAAAAAAATTCTACTCTAATTCTTCACTGACTTCTAAATTACTAAATTCTGAAGGTACTCACATAATCTAATTTTCTTATTGAAAAAGCTGTATTCTTTTTGCCAAAAACTATTGAAACACAGTCTTTGATTGCTCTGGCCACATGGAGTGGACAGACAGATGGTACACTGTGGTGGAAAGCCCAAAAGAGGGACTGTAGCAACACTTCTTTGACAAGTTATGGTAACGGGAGTGTCTCTTTCACATCAATAGGTGAACTTTTACTCAAAGAGGCACATTTCTCTGAGTTTAAGATAAATCTGTTTATGCTTCTTGACAGAAGTAGAAATACTGTCAGTCTTGCTTCGTAGCAACTGTGAATAATGTCTACACCAGTAACTCTTAATGGGGGAACCACTGGTCTACACACTAACAAATATTGTTCTCATTATGCCAAGCTACTTAATCACTTGTTACCTAATGTTTGACTTTCTACATGTAGAATCACACTGATTTTTGGCAATCAGCTGTTTCCAAATATGTTAGCTACTTCCATATTACTAGTCTGAATGAGAAACTAGATCTAGAGACATAACAGTACCATACGACAAAGTAGTCAGTGTTATCATATGCCAGATATACCTACCCGAATCTTTTAGAGTCTAGCAAGCTAACTGCCTCAACAATAGTTTCATAGTTTCTTAGTGCTTAGGGTCGGAAGGGACCTAAACAGATCATCAGGTCTGAACCCCTGCCTGGGCAGGAACGAGTGCGGGGTCATAACACCACAGCCAAATATCTGTCCAGCCTTCTCTTGAAGACCCCCAAGGTAGGAGAGAGCACCACCTCCCTTGGGAGTCAATTCCAGAGCCTGGCAGCCCTAACTGTAAAGTAGTGTCTCTTGATGTCCAGCCTGAATGTATAGCTCCACACACCTGTAGCTGAAATCTGATTCCATACACTAGCCAGCCATCCACTTTAAAAAAACCCAAAAACAACAAAAACACTCCACTCGTTCTTTTCTTGTTTATAAAGTGTTTGCTTTTTAAAGGAGAGTCAGACAGGTAAGTATAATTGCATCCTTTTTGTATCTTTATAAATTTTTTATTCAGACTAAAAGTAGATCCCATAAACAAATGGGGGGGGGTTTAATATTGCAACCATATAATTACTTCAGCTTTATAAAGTAAAATGCAAAAGCCTAAAAAGGATAATCTAAAAAAAAAAAAAAAAATCCACCAGGTTTTCCAGAATTCATGTATAAGGGTAGTATTTCACAATATGGATAGAGATAATACTGGAGATCTGCAGTATAAAAATCACAGACTAATACCAGTTATCTTGTGAGAACACTGCTAGAAGAAAGTTAGATTAGTTTATTGTATTAGTTTATTCTCCAGAGGTAGGCAGAAGCGCAGTGGCAGAGTAGTTAAAGATATCTTACTATGGCTATAGAGGTGAAAGCTGAAGCCTCAGCCCAGACCTCATACCAAAGTCTACTCCTACCGAATCCAGCTGTAATGGGGCTAGATCTATTAGTTGGGACTGGTGAGCTGCATCAGCTAGACAGTATTTTATACACGTCATCCTCCCATTTACCATTGGCTAGAGAAATTAGAGTGCCTTACTCAAACTAGTTTGATGAGCCGCTGGGCTCAGGGGGACCTTGAACCATAACAAATATTTAAATCGTCATGCACGATTTCAAACTTACAAAAGGGGGGGAACAAACAACCAACTTAATGAAGTTTTTAAAAAAGTTATAAGTTGCATCATTTGATTTGAAAAAAAATGCACACTTTTACAAATTACTGAAGGAAATGCATTATTTAAGGAGTTTGTTTTCTTAAAATTATATGGTTCTGTTGGGTTAAGCTTCAAAACAACACAATAACCAAACTACAAATTGCACAATATTCATGAACGACAGCTAATCACCACCAGAAATTAACTATCAAATTCAAAGTAGTTGATTAGATATGCAAGTCACTTAGTTAGGAATGCATTCCCAACTGCTTTCTATCTTAATTCAGAATCATCCCTACTCACCTTTAGTTCTTTGTGTCAGCTCTTCCTTGGTTTTAGTTAGCTCAGTAGTAACTTCTTTAAATTGTTTTTCAAGCCATGCAATGGCTTCCTGTGGGTCTTGTAAGGATACAATATAGCTGTGGACTTCTTCTGCTTGCTTCTTAATATCAGTAACATCATTTTCCAAAGAATTAATAATGCCCTCAAGATAAATACAACTTTTTGGAACTACATTATTGCCCTCCTCCTAGGAAGTGAAAAACATTTAGTCTTTGGTTAGCAAATGGCCCCTACAAGGCAGAATAGCTATACTCTCTATGGAAAACCAAAAACTCATTTGTGAATGCCCACATGAAAAAAGAACAAAGGACAAGAACTATGAAATTTTAGACCCAAATGATCTTGCTGATTTGGGCCCTATGACTTTATTGTCAAATTCTGTGTCTCAATTATCCATGTTTTAAAAAAAATAAATAAATACATGATTAAATTTACCCCACCTTATAGCATCTAATATGTGATGATCAAAAATAGGAAGACAGCAGAATTTTTCCCATAATATTGTATTTTTGTTTGGAAGTAGAAGGGGCACTGTCTAAGAAGTATGTGTACTTCAAAATTTATCACTAGATACTTCAGATATCAGAATCATCTGATATTTGGAATATTTCTGTGGAAAAAAAACAAAAATACTTTTTTTTTTTTTAAATTTAAAGCACAAAGAAGAGGAAGTAGAGCTGTAACCAGGACGTTGACAAAGTTGAAATATCCTGGTTCAGGGTCCAATTATACCTTCAGATTCATATTTGGGTCCCCATTCCTAGAAAATGCCCACAAGTCCTGTTTGAGGAAGTACTGAAGAACAACTAAAACTGAATATGTAGGGCCTAGAAATGCACTCACTTGGAATAGGCACACATTATTGAAACTATACTCTTGAATGCATATTAGCTTTACTATAAAAGGTATGAATTCATTCACTCCCTTTCTGTACGCCATAGAAGTTTCATTCTGTTTTCCTTAGATGTGCAAGTATACACTTTCATTCCTTGAAAAAAAGTCTCGTGGACAGACTACCAAAAGTTCAATTCTAAAGCTACATGTACTGCCCTCTAACTTAAGAACAATTATGATCTCTCAGTCTGGAACATAGATGCTTGAAGCCATTACTAAACCAAACGTATCTAGAGACAGTTAAGATACCTGAAAAAAGGGAGGTCCTGAACACCTTAAGCAGTAGATTTAACATAGATATTAAATCTGTCAAAAGATGACGACTCAAAAAGAGTGAGAGAGAAGAAAGAGCGAGCGAGCGAGTGAGAGAGAAGAGAAAGAAATACCAGAGTTGCAGCTTGCTCATTAGAAGGAGCATCCTTTATTTTTTCTCCTTCATCAGGTATTTTGACGTATTCATTTACAAGATCCTTGTAGATTTCTAAGCGTTTTTCAGACGTTTCCTCTAGTAACTCTCGTTCACGATTAAGGGCCACCCTGAATTAAAGAAAATTAAGTGATCTTAGAAAGAAAGTAATTTCCACCCTATTGAGTCACTGACATTTTGACTCAACAGGCAAGAAGGAATACACATTTGTTTCAGGTTTAAGTTAGAGTTAAAAAAAAAAAAACAACCCCAAAAACCAACCCCCCCATTCCACATTAACCCCTGCCCCCCATGCAACAAAAAGAAACATGCACTACACAATTATTGTCTTGTTTAGAAAGACTTTTATAATTAAGAAGCTACGAACAAATCTTTAAGCAGCTCATGGCTTGGTTGTAAACTGGGCATCTCACTGGACATGAGCTATGCAACACGCGTTGGTACATGTATTTTCCATTCTTGGAAATGAGGAGCTTCAAACTTCAAGCACTTACAGTACACTACTGGATGTTTATCTCCTGCATATAACTTGTTTACAGTGGGTATAAGGATTGCCATTTTAAAAATGCCTGAAGTTTCTCTCAAAACACAAGATTTTATATCAGTATTTCAGGATTTAAGCAACATTTTTTAGTGCTTATCTGGAAAGTATTGATAATATTAGTTCATGAATTAAATACTCTTTGCAACTTGCTTTCCTTTTGCAATTTTAATAGGACTGTACGAGCTATTGACGATTTGCCTTGGTAACTTGAAAGTTTAGACTTGTTAGATTTGTAACAAGTGTTCTTTCATTTCAGTGGATTTAGCTGGTCAATACAGAATTTTAGATTTTTATCATTTCTTTGTACTTTTTTATTGTACAAGTTGCATGCATTTACGTTTTTTGACATCACAGTTTGGGTGGTAGATTTTAACCATTTAAAAAACAAATCATTGCTTTCTGATCGAAATAGCTGTTTGCATTTAACTAGAGCCTTGTTTATATTGGAATGATGTCATTATCATCATCATCCTCCAAGTTAAGACTCAGAGCATTTGTCTACACTATAACCCTAGTGGGAGCATCCCAACAAGTGCGCATGTGCAGGGGTGCGCGTTTCCCTTGGGACAAATAGCGACATATTTGTGCCACTGCCATTGGTCCCCGGGCATGCACCTGCACACACACTCTGGCACACAACCAAGTGACCTGGGTGGGGAAGGGGAGGCTGAGGCCAGCAGCCTTACCTACAGGTCCTGGAGGCCTCCCGAGGCAGCAGTGGCAGCACCAAGCCTGCTGTTCAGAGCATAGCTCTGGCTAGCCAGGCTCCCTTTCTGGCATTGTATGCTGCTGCAGCAGCATGTACCACACCCGTTTTTCAGGTTTTTGGTTGTTTGTTTGTGGTTTTGTTGGGTTTTTGGGGGAGGCAGGGGGGAGGAGGAGGAGGAGGAGATCATTTCCTGGTGTCAAAAAACCCCCCAAAAGCTCTGCACTGATTAGCAGTGTGGCGAATGGATGCATGTGCTCCACATGCATTCTGCAGCACCACAAACTGCTTTGGAGTGCCACAAGCCACACGTGCACACTTGTTAGGATGTGTGCAATGTGTCCTGGCATAGACTTTCCTCACCTGAGATTATGCTTAGGGGCAACAAACACAGGTTCATTAGAGGCAGGTCCTGTCAGGCCAACCTGGTGGCCTTCTATGGCCAGGTCTCAAAAGCCTTAGACCCAGCGGTAGCAGTGGACGTAGTCTTTCTGGACTTTAGGAAGGCCTTCGACACTCTCACCCCATTCTCATTAAAAAACTAAGGGACTGTGGCATCGCCACCTACACAGTCAAATGGGTTGCTAACTGGCTGGAGGGCTGCATCCAGAGAGAGTGGCGGTGGACGGGCCTTATTCGACCTGGAGGGATGTGGGCAGTGGGGTTCCGCAGGGCTCGGTCCTCAGGCCAACACTGTTCAACATCTTCATCAGAGACTTGGAAGAGGGGTAAAAAGCACCCTGTTCAAATTCACAGACAACACTAAGATGTGGGGGAAAGTGGGAAGTGCTAGAAGGGAGGAATAGGTTGCAATTGGACCTAGACAGGTTACAGGGGTGGGCGGATGAGAATAGGATGGGATTCAACACCGACAAGTTCAAGGTACTGCACCTGGGGAGGAGGAACCAGCAGCAGACCTACGGGTTGGGGAACTCCCTTCTTGTCAATGCAGAGGCAGAAAAGGATCTTGGAGTCATTATTGATGCCAAAATGAACATAGGCTGACAGTGTGGAGACGCGGCCAGGAAGGCCAACCGTACCTTGTCATGCATCCACAGATGCATCTCAAGCAAGTCCAAGGAAATGATCCTCCCTCTCTATGTGACAGGCTGCATCTGGAGTACTGCGTCCAGTTCTGGGCGCCACACTTCAGGAGGGATGTGGACAACATGGAGAGGGTACAGAGGAGTGCCACCCACATGATCAGAGGGCAGCAGGGCAGGCCCTATGAAGAGAGGCTAAGGGACCTGAACCTGTTCAGCCTCCACAAGAGAAGGCTGAGGGGGGATCTAATGACTGTTCACAAACTAGTTAGGGGGGACCAGCAGGCATTGGGGGAGTCCCTGTTCCCCCAAGTGCTACCAAAAGTGACTAGAAATAACAGTCACAAGCTGGTAGAGGGTAGATTCAGGCTAGACATCAGGAGGCACTACTTCACTGTCAGGGTGGCTAGGATCTGGAACCAACTTCCAAGAGAAGTGGTACTGGCTCCTGCCCTGAGGGTCTTTAAGAGGAGGCTAGATGAACACCTTGCTGGGGTCGTTTGACCCCAGTACCCTTTCCTGCCCATGGCAGGGGGTCGGACTTGATGATCTACTCAGGTCCCTTCCAACCCTACCAACTATGAAACTATGACCTTGCTCACTCTAAACCTGCAAGTGCAACTGTCAGTCCATTCCAGGGACATTTCACACAGCTGCTCCCAAATGTTTCAAACTTAGCTCCTGAGATAACTGGAGGAGGATACCTCCAAAGCAGTAATCACAGGTACATTTGCTGCTTTACACTCAAAGTGCTTTACAAGTCATGAAATACATAAGCAGGAACAGGTGTGCAAGGTGTTACTGCTGAGATGCACTGGGGAAGTAATGTAGATATACCATCTTATGCTGGCATAATACATCATGCATACTTGTTCTTTCTTGTATTGTGTCCTTTATAGGCTGTCAGGTGTTTTTACAAGAGCAAAGATAAATAAAAATTACTTATGGTGAGGAATAAGAGTACCCATACACAGTGTAAGATTCACTTCCTCATACTGGAACCAAGCAGAAAGGCATGCTGATGACCCATTGATGCATGCAGTTAGTTGTATTTTCCTCTTTATAAAGGAGGGTGTTTTGGATGTGTAGCAGGACACCTTTGGTATCTGTCACTTTAAGGGCCAGAACAGACAGCAGAGCAGCCTGCAGGAGACTGCACTCCCAATCAGGCAAGTAACAGGGCTAGCAGGAGGCTGACTGATTGGGAAGATGGCCCAGCTGCTAGAGGTAAGAACAGGCACTGAGCAGTAGAGCCAGCAGCTGCTGCAAGCAGCTGGAGGGAGAACATTGCCCAACTGGAGCTGCTGCTGCTCACAACATCTGGGAGGTACAGGGCAGGAATTATGGGGATGGAGGAGGTTCCTGGTTCTGGGGAATGACCTAAAACTATACCCTGCTGGGGCTGGATGGTGTGGTGGAGCTGCTTGTGGCAGGACAGCTTTCAGGAAGTGCCACACCTGTGCCTCCCCATTAAAGAAAGAGTATGGGACAGCAACTTCTGACATGCCTGGGCCTCCTGCCCCCTCACCAGGACCTCCAGTTTATACCCTTTCACTAGGGCCTCCACTCCGGTCAGCCCATGTGCAGTCCTTCAGGCCCCATAAGGCCCTACTCTACACTGCCACTGGACACTACTCTGTCCCTTAACTGGGGCTAAGGGGCCTTAGACCCCATGGGCCTTGGGTGTCCACAGACATGCCTGGGCCCACTTGGGCCTTGGGTATCTGCTGACAAACCCGGACTCTTTTTCAGGCTCCATACAATGGGCCTGGGTCCTGCCTCAGGCCCCACTCAGAGGGTCTGGGCACCTGTGCTTTTTCTCTTGGGGTATGCTCCCCTAGCCTCCCCCTCCATGGGGTCACCCACAAGGCAGCAGGGGCTAAGGCAGAGTACTTTGGATGCTATCTGCGAGGCATGGTATAATTGGAGGTTCAGAGCAGTGTATATTGCCCTAGGCATCAGGGCATAAAATGGGCAGTCTCCCACATTAGTACATCCTCTTTTATACATCAAAGCATGGCAGATAAGACAGGGCAGACTGCCCTAGAGAGGTGAGCAGGCCAACACTGTGGGCAGCCTAGAGACTTCCCCGTCACAGGATGCATATTTGTGTGTCCTGTTCCTGCAAAGGTTCAATCACAGAGATTGTTTACAATCAAACAAGCACTGGGCCAAATTAAGCTTTTTCCCCCCCTTTTCTTTTCGAGATTTGAATAATTTTAAGAGCTTTTTTCCTCCAATTTATATATAAAGTGCAAGTATGCAAATATTGAATATTTGAACTTAAAATTAGACTAATTGAGACAGAAAAAGAAATTTACAATTAGAAATAAACCTACTAAGAAAATTTACTTACCGGAAGTCATTTCCCTGTTGAGCAAAATATTGAGTGAATTCCTGCGTAACTTCTTCACGAATTTTTAATTCCAAGAGCAATTTGTCTTTTCTCTCAGAAATCAGTTTATTTTTTAAGTCTTCTATTATGTTTAGTAGTCTCTAGAGAATGGCAATAGGTAGCATTTTATATTTACAAAGGAATATTTTCAAAGGTTTCTGTAAGCGCTGCTCTAAGAATAGTTCTTTTGTTCACTGCCTCCCCACACAATCAGAGATAAAAATCTCTCTCAATTTTCAACAGAGTTGGACACAATCTGTTTGTTTGTTTTTGTTTAAGTCTTTGTAAAGTACTTCATCTGTGCCATACATTGTTAACGTATACAAAGTTTGCATATAAAAGTGTGTGTTCGGGGGTCCAAAGAATATCAACTGTACTGGAAAAATTGGAATGGTTTCTTTTCAAAACAAGAGCTAGACACTGACCCCACTCCCACCCATAAAATGCTTTACAAGTCTTGCACAGCTCAAAGACCTATGAGCATGCTACCAAAACCCTGCTTTCAGAGCCTTCATGCATGGAATTAAAGATAGGAAGATTTTCTACCTACCCATGCAGACAGCACATTGCCAAGAGATGCATTTTATTTCACCCATTGCTAAGTATAAATGCATTACTCTCATTAACGAATCCGGTTTTAAAAGCTGTTTACACAGTCTTTATAGGGGGGCTCGGTCCCTTCTCCAATACGCTGAAGTAAGAATTCTACCCCAATACAAAAATAGGCTGTGTACCAATTCTGAATAGATTCCTGGTACATACCAGATACTCTTCTTTTCCAATAACTATTTCACTTCCTTCATGGTCTTCCATCTTCTCCTTTGGCATCTCTACTGACTTATCACGCTCTTCCTCTGCCTTTGGCATCTCTTTTACCATTTCTTCTTCTGCCTGTGTCTCATTATCATGCATAATGCAATCATCATCCTCCATCACATCTTCCAGGCTTCTGTCCCAGAATATAGTGGCTCTTTTTCTTGCTACTTGCATTTTAGTGTTGGTATCACTTACAAATGGCGCTTCTCTGACAGACTTCTGGCCAAATGACTGCTCTTGGGGAGGATTATAAGAGTCTAGAACTAAAATCTATTAAGGAAAAAAAGTGATCAGTCATTTCTAAGATATAACCAGGCATCCTAGTTTTCTGCAATTAAACCCCCCCCCCAGATTCTCCAATTAAAAATCCAAAACTCCATGTTTTGCAGTGGCAGCCCAACCCCTTGCTGCTGATTGGTGGAGGGGGCAGAGCCACAAAACAGCCCTCTCAGAGGATCAGTGGCAGAGGGAGGAGGGGACAGCTGCCATCTTGGCTGCTTCTCTGTGCACCAGTGGCTTCTCCTCCCCCTGGCTGGCTGCCACAGTGGCCATGAAAACAGGGGGCTCCCACCAGGGAGCCAGCATCTTATTTTCAGTAAGTTGTTTTTCTTTTCTTTCCCCTGGGGATTCTAGAACATTTTCTGTAAAAAACAAAATTCCATGTTTTTCCATGGCAAACATTTCTAGGATCCCTGGAGATAACCAAGTAATTATGGAGGAAGTCAGTAGCACTCAACTATCACTCTACATTCAGCACACACACACACATTCACTGGGACATGTCCAATGAATTTCATGGTTCCTCATCGCCATTACCATATCAGTGAAATTAACTGACATACTACGAAGTTACCTTCAGGATAAATGAGGTGGTATAGTTTAAGAGGCCCTGCTCCAAGAGATCTAGAACACAGTAGCTTTGCTAAAGGTACAAAGCCACCCCTAATTGAAATAGCTCGTTTCATAGATGTCAGGGCTGGAAGGGACCTCAGAGATCATCAAGTTCAGCCCCCTGCCCCAAAGGAAGTCAGCCAGCTAGGGTCAAGGGATAAGCATCCAAACATTTCTTGAATAAGTCCAGAGTAGGTGCCTGCACCACTTCAGGAGGGAGTCTATTCCAGGTCTTGGGGGCTTGGACAGTAAAGAAATTCTCATGTCCAGCCTAAAACTGTCTTGTAGGAGTTTATGACCATTGGTCATTGTTTTTCCTTGGGGTGCTCTGGTGAACAGACGTTCTCCCAGATCCTGATGAACATCCCTTGTGCATTTATAAGCAGCCAGAAGGTCCCCCCTGAGCCTGCGCTTTTCCAGACTGAAGAGTCCCTTGGCTCTCAGCCTCTTCATAAGGCTGATTCTCTTGCCCTCTGATTATGCGCGTGGCTTTCCTCTGGACTCTCTCAAGCTTCTCAACATCCTTCTTGAATTGCGGAGCCCAGAACTGGATGCAGTACTCCAACTGCAGCCTCACCAAGGCTGAGCATAGCGGGAGGATGACATCCTGAGATTTATGTGAGAAGCATCTGTAGATGCAAGCCAGGGTTTAGTTTGCTTTATCAGCTGTGACATCGCATTGGTGGCTCATGTTCATCTTGCAGTCAATCATGACCCCCAAGTCTCTTTCAGCACTGGTGCTAGCAAGTGTAGCACTGTTGAGCCTATAAGCATGCTGCAGGTCCCATCCCCCCCACCCCCAAGGTGGAGTACCTTGCATTTATCAGTATTGAATGTCATCAGGCTTGTGTCCACCCACTTACTAAGCTTATCCAAGTCAGCCTGAATCCCTAGCCTGTCCTCAGGTGTGGATGCTATGCCCCAAAGTTCACTGTGAACTTAGCCAGTGCACTTCTGACACCAATGTCCACATCATTGATAAAGATGTTGAAGAGAACTGGTCCAAGCACAGAGCCTGGGGGATCACCACTGGTTACTGAGCACTATAATGATTCGCTGCCATCAACCACTACTCTCTGGGTCTGACCTCGAAGCCAACTTCCCAGCCACCAGACTGTGATATAGCCCACAACCACTCACAGGCACCATGGTCACTATTTTGTCTACTGAATTTGGGGGTTCCTCATTGCCATTACCATATCAGTTAATTTCACTGATATACTACAAAGTTACCTTAAGTTACTACTGCAAAGTTACCTACATGCCACGCTTAGGGGGTACACATGCACCTATGTTCATCTCCTGCATGTCACCAATGATCTCAGTGCTTTTAGAAAAGCAGTTTCCCTGCCAAACCTATTAAGGCTTTCAAACAGGAAAGATTATAGAACATTTAATTGGAACATGAATGAATACTAAATTCAGAGATTACATTCAGATCATTAAAGTGTGAAATAAAGGATTTTAGTAGTCCTCTTAAGTACAAATCTGAATGATGCAGATGTGGAACAACTAGGCATCTCCATAATACAATTCTGAATTATAAATAGAATTACACAATTAAAATGCACTTACTTTTTGTGCAACTGCTGAGAACTTCAGTACATTGAGGGTTTCATCATAGGCAGAAGCACACTGGCTTATGTTGACAATCATATGTACCTTCCCTCTTCCATTGAAGAAGCCTTGAAGGAAGTGAGTTAGTTTACTTTCCCGGAATGGTATGTGCTGCTGCAGCCTGAAGGACAAAAACAAAACACCACATACAACATTAGCTAAACATAGGGTCCCACGGAAAACTCCTAATGAGTTTTTTTAAAATCTAAAAGTTCCCAAAATTATTTTTTACTACAAGGGGAAAAAAAAAAAAACCAAGACACCCAACAATGCCTTACTTAAAATTTAAAAATTTAGTAATTAAGAGGCTGTTCAATAAATGTGTGTTGGCTAAGGATCATCAGTATCTTAGATTCTTGTTTATTTTCCCCTCATACAGTAATTTAGATCTAACAATTTGGAGATGCCAAACAAAATTACTTTGCTTCATACATTTCCCATGACTTTACAGGTACTGCAAGTTTCTCCTACATAGGCTGGTTATGTGGATCTCTTATACAGCAAAAGGGCAAGGGGATGGAAGACAACACTAGCTAAAAAGGCTCCAGTTTGTCCAGAAGCAAGTATATGATGATTCAAGCTTAATTTGGCCACACACACAAAACCCAACTGTTGGGACTTCAGATTGATAGCTTCCTCAATTCTGATGCATTAGAGTACTCGTTTTCTAAAAGCAAAGCTTTGCTCTTTTACCAAAAGGCAGCACCAAGTCCGGCCACCACTTGCATCTTAGTTTCAGTATGCAAATGGTACTACGTGATGTGCAGGCCTGTGGGAGCTCTCTGAAGAAAAAGCGAGGAAAACGGGATGTCATCTCAAATCATAACTAGCAGTTACAGATGCTTTCTGATGTATGCACGTGTGAGGGTAGCAGGGGTGGAAAATGACAAACACAATTTTGCCTACAGCTAAAAGTCAAAAGTTACTATTCACTGAAGAACTACAATAGCAAGTATAAAAGAAAAAAAAGTGTGGAAAAACAAGAGATTTGTTAGATGAGCTTTTGGGCACATCTCTCCTAGCTATATAGTTGGCCCAGTAAAAAGGTATTACTTAAAAAAGCAAAAAAACAAAAAGACAAAAACCTGCTTCTCACATTTCCTGAACCATAAACTATAGCAGTCCAACCCTACAATAAGCTTCCTGAGCATTCTGCTAAACTGCATATTTTTAAAAACTTATTAGAAGTAATTTTATCAAAATGTAACACTTTTGCATGTAATTATGGTAGACATGATGCACTTATCACTATTTAGCTGTTTGATTTTATATATTTAATTATATCCACAAAAATTAAGCATAGCTCTTGAAGTGCATACTTCGATTGTTGACTGTTCTTGAGTGCATTAATGCATTTTCCTAGAATCAGCAGAGAAGTGTTAATGTTTCCACTCTCTTTCAATCGATCACCCTCATTACGTGTCTTGGTACATCTTTCTGAGCCAGCAAGATCACAGAGTACTAATCTGAAAAGAAAGATTAAAAAAGTTAATTTGCTTTTCAGGTGTTGGAAGTCAGCAGAACTAGTAAGCTTATTACAAATTAAGCCAAAACTTACTCACTGACTTGCGTTACAAGAGGTTTTTCAGAATCTTCAATCCTTAATATTTTAATAGTGAATATGCTGTGACTAAAAAGAGAAAGAAAAGAGGCATATAAAAGTATGTTGATCCAATATCACTTCTCATTCAGTTACTTAAAAACCAAAAGGAAAGTTGCATTTAACTTCTTCAGGACTTGTACACAAACTGGTAAAAATTTCAACATGCATTTATGCCTTCAACGAATTTACAGCTTAGCCAAATGCCATTCTAGCTGCTAAGTATCTTTAGTTTAAACATCCAGTGTACTTAAAAGAAAGGAAGAAAGCCATGCTCAACAGTTGGGCTTGCATTCTCATTGGGATTTATTTATTTATTTTAAACAATCATTTGTCAAATTAGTAGGCTATTCCTATGCTCCCAACTTTCTATACTTAGAAGGCCATTGAGTCTTCAAAATCCATATGTGTGTTGAATAAAGGCAAACAGAAGAGCTAACTGCCTTTACTTCAAGGAGAATGGTTTCAACAAATCTGTAAGCTTTTCTATAGAAGCTTCTAATTACAAAGCTGTTCTAGTTTTGCTCAACTTTTTTCCATTTACCAGTGTGGGTGAAATTGTGGCCTAATTGTCTAGGCTCTCACATCACCAAAAGATCCATGCCACCACCAGTGTTCATAGGTCTCTCTCACCTTCTGCTGGAGCAAGTATTCAGTTTTGTGCAAGCAATGCTCTGGTGTTTCAATCCCAACTTCAGAAGTCTAAAAGCTTCTTTTGCATTAGAAATCTGGACCCACTGCAGATCTCGAAAGGGAACAGCCAAGATTATTTTGCTAAATATTTATGAAGTAATCATTATGCATGTACATGTGCTATGCATATAGATCTGTATTCAGGACACAAAAAAGTTAGCCAGTTTATTGCTGTAACAAGTGGGGCTCACAGGGCTGGTCTAGTCATTGGCCCACCCACCTTTCCAGGGCTAACCGCCTGCCTGCCTCACCTTTGATGAATCATTATGTTGTTCCCATTTGGGAGGCTGCCCATTTAATTGCCCCAATACCAAGAGAATATACATTGCTCTGAACCTCCCCTTATGCCGTGTGTCACTGCGCTGGACGACAAGGCTCCCAGAGGTCCCAAGAGCAATTTCCCCCCACACTCCTGGCTGACGGGGGATAAGAGGCCCAGCTGACTGGCTGCTTGCCATATCTGAAGCAACCTGAGCCCGAGAAGCAGAGGTGCATGCAGCATCTCCCCAATGCTTTAAAAAGCATGCTATCCCTGCGTGTGGAGATGCACGCTAATGGTGACATCATAAAAAGTTGTCGAGGCCCCGAACAAGTGCTGGAGGGCACTGCAGGAGCAGGGACAGCACAGGGTACCAGGAGTGCCCCTATAGACACTGCAAGACCTGGGAAGGATGCCAAAGGGGCTCCCATGAGCTGGGATGGAAGAAACCCAGAGGGATCCCGAACCCTGGAGATTAGCAGCAGTGAGCCAGAGTGGGACTGGGGGGACCCACCTCCAGAAAGAACTGTAGGACTGATGGCAAACACGCGAGTCCAGTTCCCCGAGCAGTGCCACATTAGGTGCCTAGGATGTTTCGAGTATGTTTTCTTTTGTTTGGAATTTATTTCTTACTAAAACAGGCCTGACCCAGGAACATCCTGGCACAGCCTAAGAAGCCCAGCAGAAGGAACTTGTAATCTCTAACTAACCTTAAGGTGGCTGGCCAGAGTTACAGTGGTTTTCCCCAAGGACAACTGAAGCAGGTGGGGAAGAAAGCCCACACCAATTCAGCAAAGGAATGGCAACCAAGTATCCTATCAGAGCCCCAAGTCGCTATAGCACCTAGCCAGCCTGAGGGTGGAAGGACACCATCTCCAAAAGGAACCTCCCATTCTTTTCTTAGACCACCAAGGCATGGCAGGTGAGTAGAGGTAGACCCACCTTGAGCATAGGGGCTTCAAGTGCCCAACAGACCTTCTCCGGGCACTTCGTAGCCCATGCCTCGCAGCTGGCATCCGTGGCCTATCACCCAGCCCAGCCCATAATCCTGTGCCCTCACACTGGCCTCTCAATCACACCACACCCACTGCCTATATTTCCTGGTAAACAATTGCAAAAAATTGAACTTTAATGAGCCAACTGTCCCAACATGGATATTAGAAGGTAGGTGCATCTACATGTGCATTAAGGCATTTCTTCTAATGAGCATTAAAAATTAAGTATCTTCAATGTGAGGTACTAAAAAAAAATGTGCATTAGGCTGCCTTAATGTGCAGTAAAAAATGCACATGGTTTTTAAGTAGTTATTAGCTTAATGGCACTTTTTTTTTTACATGACACTTTAATGTGTAGTAAATAGGCTACTGCACATAAAAGCGCATGTGTAGACACACCCAGCTAGACTCTGGTTTCTCCAATCTAAAGGCAAAACTGCTTTTGAAGTTTTATATTGAGAGAGAAAATTGTCTCCCTTTTGTTTCCAATACTCACTGCGAGAGTGGGCAAGTGATTTGTTTTCCCAAAAAGATATTAAAATGCATGATAAAGTATTTATTTTATAGTTACCTCTCACATATGAGCAGCCTTTGATATCTTGAGCAAGACGCAACAACTTTCTTTTCTTGTCATTTGTTATTGGGAACAGTAAGTCATAAATGCACTCATTGTAAATCTCACAAAAGGAAACCCAAAGAGAGAATTTCACGTGGCTTCCTTCAGTTGTGATAGATTGTTCAGATTCTTGTATGATTTCTTCCAAGTCTGCCAAAAATATTTAGAGTTATACAAAATAACTAAAACTAAAAAAAACCAGAATTAGAGTCCAGAGTATAAAAAGAGAGATTAGTTACAAAATGAGAGTTTGGAATGAGCTCGGACTTCTTAAAGTGAGACACTCGTCACAACACCAAAATTTTTGATCATCTGTACATGTCTACTATCTTTGTTAAGGAGTATCAATACATCTCACTTGCTTTTTCAAAAGAAGAATTTATTTTCAACCAAAATGAGTTAACTGTGCTCAAGAGATTCAAGTATGTTCTTTGGAAGACACTGCTCAATTCAATACATTCCAAAATGTATAGGATTATTTGTGTACACATGCTTACTTTATCTGGAGTATAATTAACTATTACAAGTTGTCAGGATGATAGTGCCAGAAGACGAGCAGTGAAAATTTACTCAGCCACAACTACACTCTAGTCTGACTAAACATGATCAGCAACCATTAGTATGAAGACTTTACTTCACCTTCAGACTGTCTGCCAACACAACCATTTGCAGTTGTTTGTCTTGTAGGACCAAAGCACAAGAATTATATGGTGACAAAATTTGATATGGGCCATTCAATAGACAAGAAATGGCAAAACGTTTCAGCTGCTAGTAACCCACGCTGGAACTGGAACTGAAAGTTACCGACCTGAAGTAGAATAGCCCTTATTCATTTAAGTAAAGAACAAACTTTTACATACCTACAGATTCGTCTGAAGTCTTGCTGCAATTGCTGTTTATGCTGTTCTGAGAATCTACCTATTAAGAAAAAAAAACAAAAATTGATAGCAGTAAATTTAAAAGTCAAATTAATCTTGGTTAGAACTAGGAATATTAAGAAGCCCAAAACTTCTGAAGCAGGTCTAGGGCACTAATCAATAGGAGAGCAACGCTAGGTCAATATAAGATTAATCGGAAGCTTTAAACCAGACAGGAATTATTTGTCTTCAACATTTCCAACAGCCTGAACTTCAGCTTGGACCAGGAGCTCATTTAGAGCAGCAGTCTTAACCCGTGGGTCACGACTCAAAACTGGGTCGCAAGAATATATATGAAAGGGTTGTAAACAACCCATAAAAAAAAAAAAAAAAAAACCACAACCCAAACTTTAAAAATGGATTCTCCTTTAAAAGGAGAAAACATAGGAAACTACAAGTTTCCTGTTGGAGGCTAGCAGAGTTCTAGCCTGCATGGAGCTACTTGAGGCTGGGGGGAGTAGGAGGAAGGTGATCAGGCAGGACACGCACACACACGGCAGCCAGGCACCACAGAGCAGTTCCTACAGCTCCCTGCAGATAAATCTATGGGGCAGAAGGGATAGAGGGCACAGACAGTGTCAAAGGGACACAGACAGCATTGCCTGCCACCCCACCTCTTCTCCAAAGGAGGAGCCATGGCCTGAGGGAAGCAGTGGCGGCAGCCAGGCCATGGCAGGGGGTTAGACCCACAGCCCAGTGCATGAGTGAACGACTGGTGGCAGGAGAAGGTGAAGGCAGTGTGGCTGATGCAAGGGTTCTGGCATCAATGGCAACAATGAGTCTCACTGTGCCACTCTGCCCTCCTGTGCCAAGTCTCATCTGCTGGGCTGCAGAGGCAGCTCCTGCTCAAGCCAGTCCAACTAGGCTGCAGCTATGTGCCCACTGTGGGTGCACACTGAGGGGCTAGGGACTGGGATTGGGGGGCAGTTTTCTACTTAAACTATTTACTAGATTGGGACTGGCCATCAATGTTTACAAATGGGTTCTGGTACAAAAAAAAAATGGGCTGAGAACCACTGATTTAGAGCACAGGTAAAACAAGTGTATCATCATTACACATTAGGGAAAGACTGTACTAAAATGTATGTTTCAAGCTGAAAAAAACATGCAAAGGAGTACAGGGTACCATTTTTGGCTCAGCCCATATTTATCAAATAAATTTCTACTGTTAACTTTCATGAAGTTTTTGCATATTCTTAAAATATATCTGGAAGGGGGAAAAAAGGAATGTGTCTACCAAGAACTTAGAGTATGGTATACATCTAAAAAAAGGCCCATTACGTGAAAAAATATTTGCAAAGGTCACAAAAAGCTAGGATTCCATCAACTTACTCATGCAATCAGCACAAGGTATATGCATTTATATAGCAACAGAATTTCAAGGAAGGATTTCACTTCACGTACTTCAGTAGACCAGTCTTGTATGTAAACACGAGTACTATAGCAGATTTCATTAGGGTCAGGCTGAACAAGAGTACAAAAGAATCCCTGCCCAGCCCTATGACCCACAGATCAGATATGGCTGTTAAGCTGGGGGGCTTCACTGGTATCATTGCTTTCCCCCTTTAGTGCCTGCTGCTGTAGAATTAGGTTGGGAATGGCCCACTCAGAAATGAACTCTATTAAAGCGAATTCCCGCTCCAAAAACATTGCAGAGCCCTGGCCTATTAACCTTCTGCACAAGTTCATTGACCTGTACCTGGTATTCCAAACTCCTTCTCACTTTGTGTACCCTCTCCCCTCCCCCCACTTTAAACATTTTGCAGTCTTACAAGTAGGTAAAACAAGGAAATGCATATTTCTAAAGCCTCATAAAAACTGTTCAGTGATAACTGCAGACATGTATGCTAATGCCTTCAACTCAATTACAGGCATATGTGTATGCATACGTATGTGTGTAAAAAAAATTAAATACACAGACATTATCAGCTTGTAGTGCCTCAAGGGGGTCTCTTCAGATTCTAAAGCAGCAGAAGTTAGCTGCATGGATTTTTTTTTCCTCTGGGTTTATTTGTGTATTTCCATAAACTGTGATATGTAGATTTCTACTAAAAACTTAAAAAAACCCTAAGATCACTAAACATAAAATACTTTAAACGAAAGTAGCAACCTTTGATTTACACTGTATGTTACAGACCAGAAGAGTATGACAGTACAATTATATTTTGGCCAAACTACAGGAGGAAAGAAAAAGGATAAAATCAACAAGGCAAACAGTCTGGACTACACTGACAATTCTTACTGTTCAATCAATCATTATTTTATTCTGAAAGACGAATTTTGGGTGAAAGATAACCAAATTGGCACTGATAAAATTGTAAATCAAAACAAGCTTCTGATTATCCGTACATTAAAAAGAAATGTTAAAACCTAAATTCTTGATTATTGAACTATAAAACAACAATGACAGCAATAAAAATAAACAAAAACATCCTTCAGTTAAGCGTTTAAACTTACAAGGCAAAAGATGTTTATGTTTTTTGCACTTTTCTACAAGTCTGCATAATTTTATTTAAAGGACTTTACTGCCACCTTCCTCCCAGAGAATTTTGATTTTCAACACAATAGTTCCAACCGACTAACAGTAAAACATTCAAGATGAATTTTGTATAACAGTTATTTGGGGAAATTTTCAATCTCCCTTTAGAAAAAGTTTTCCTTTTTGGTCTAAATTTGTAGTCATTGCTCATTTCTATTTAGCTGGTGCTGTGCGTACTTCAGAACTTAGTTTGCCGATCAGGACCAATGCCATTACGGTCAGCCAATTATCTAATGTTTATTCTTAAAGTAGAAGACAAAAACCACTTTCGACTTTCAAAACTGTTTTTAGTCAACATAAGCCTTCAACTACAGTGCCACTCCAGTCTATTGTAATTAAAAAAATCTGAAATAAATTAGGTATCCTTCATCAAAAAAGCCATTTGGATCCAATTGTTTATAGTTTACTTCAGTTTTATTCAATTCTGCTCCTTCCCTATGAAGACAGCTTTTCTTTTCATTTCGAACAACTTTCCAGATTCATGAGTACCTGTTGATGCCTTATTTCCAGAGGAAATAAGATCAACCTGACAAGGCCAATAAATCTTTTTAGAAGGCTGTGTGTTGTATACAGAAATACTGCCATACCTCTTTTGTTAGACGAAGAATTGAATTTTTAAAAGCAATTTCTTCTTTCATTTGTTCTTTAGTCAGCTTTATATAATCTCTACATCTATGGGGCTTGAGATCCATTTCTGGATACATTTTACCATGAACTCTTTTAAACAGCATATCCATGGTTCTTGGCAGGATACCAACATCATCTTCTGTCCCTGTAAATAAGATATATCAGGTCAAAGACTTGTATTTTCTTGGAAACAAGAGGGAGAGATTGATAAATTGTTTCCTGAAAGAATAAGAAAGTAGGAATGCCCCAATTGTCTTCCTTTTTTTATGTTGTCATAGCTAAAAGGAAAACTGAAGAACTGCAAAGGCAGTCTTGTGTGCAGGCATATTTCTTAGGTGAAGGTAGCAAAAACTGTCACTGCTCTCTATGATGGAACTCAGTTCTCAGACATAGTAAGCTGCAGCCCCCACTGTTAAAAGACGTAACCCAATGGGGTTCCAAACTATATTTGATGATGCCTAAAAGACGTTTTCTCTGTTGGGCATTATGACCAGCAGATGATTAGTGACCAACTTAAAAAACAACTTCTTTAAAAAAGCCCATAGTTTATTCAGAGATGACTAGCAGTCACAGAAGTTTTGTTATTGTTATAGTTTTTGTGGGTTTTTTTAAAATAAAAATACAACAAGCACCCAAACTTTTCCCCTTTGAAAATTTAGGCAGGTTCAACTGACTCAGATTCCCATTTGCTGCTTCTCTGGGCTTGAAGGGCATTTTTACACATGCAAGAGCTGCAGTGCCAGGAGTTTTCAAAGCGCCTGGTGATGCGGCGTGTGCAGTTGTATAAGTGGTGAAATGCATGTCAATGCAAAGAAAATGGTGTCAGTCGCTTTTCACAGATTTCATAGACATTCGGGCTGAAAGGGACCACGGAGGATCATCAAGTCCAGCCCCTGCCCCATGGGCAGGAAGTCAGCAGGGATCATAGGATCCCAGCAAGATGAAACATCCAAATGTGTCTTGAAGGCATTCCAAGTGGGTGCTTGAACCACCTCCGGCAGCAGTCTATTCCAAACCTTGGTGGCTCGGACAGTAAAGAAGTTCTTCCTTACGTTCCGCCTGAAGATTTTGCCCTTTGTTTTAAGGCAGGAATTGGCAACCCCTGGCATGCATACCAATTAGTGGAACATAAAGATATTTTCCCTAGCATGCCAGGAGGTATGCGAGAAAACTGTAAAAACAAAAAAAAAAAAACACTAACTACAGCATCTTAGAGGTTCTTTGGTTCAAAAGCACACTGCCACCATTTTCTTTACATTGACACACATTTCATCACTTATACAAACTGCACACAGTGCAGCGCACATCAACTCACATGTGGCACAGACTAAATTAAATTGAGTCTGCTTAAAAGCAGCAGATTTCTGGCACATCGCTGAATGAAAAGATGCGTGTACAAATGCCAAAAGAGACAGAATGCTCTCTTGCACTTTATCACCATCTCCTCTAGCAGCAGCTAACTACTACCCCAGCCCTCATCCACCGCACTAGTAGAGTACTACATTCTCAATTAGATCTTCAGGTTCTGGACAAAACAACTACGTAACTTTCAGCTGGAGTTCAGCTGGTGGAGAAATGTCTTCCCACTTTTTGGTCCTGCCATTGTTCCTTTGAATTCGTTTACTCCAAAGGACTTCTCACTGTTTGTTTTCTGTTTGCTTTCCCTAGGAGTTCTTTTACGTGAACTCCATGTAGTCAGAACAGACAGGAAAAGACTGTACATAAAAAGGATGCACCTCCCTTATTCAGCATTTAAGCCTTTGAATAGGAAAAAAAAAACTTAATAGTGGCCAGAGGGAGTTGCAGCAATCCAATTCATATTGCTTTCCACTCTTGGGCTAGGTATGTTGACCATTCAGAAGAAAAAGGAAGAGAAAGAGCTACTGAATTTACTTAAACAAACAAACACAAAACAACCCCCAAAAAACAAACTCAGGAGGAGGTCAGAAGCACAACAGCTTTCCCCTTCTTACCTGCCCACTGTAATTTCTCTCCCAGTATATTTGCTAACCATTATATACAAAAAGGTAGACTATATTGGTCTCAAAGCATGAAAATACACAAATGTAAGTGTAAACAAGTGATCCCATTTGTCTCTCTGGTGGCAATTTGCTTAATTGGAAAATTATCAGTATGCCAGGCTAACTGATAGGTAGGTGTTTGTTCAGAAAGCACCTGTAACTAAGCCAGGACGCCAGCAAGCCTGTTTCAAAGACATTTTATTCCACTTGCATGCATGATTTTTTTTTCATCCTTCCATTTCACAAGTGCCTTACATTTTATAGGCACAATGCTATACTGGATCTTTTAGACCATCATTTTTAATGCAGATTTTTAAAGCTCAGATGCAGCTACTCACCCTGCCAGTTGGGTCTTTTGGTTTGGCTGCCAAAGCAGGAAAGACACCAAGGGCACATCCAGACAAGTGCGTGCATGTGTTTCCGCGAGGACAAACAGCAGCAGCATATAGTTGTGCCACTGCTACTTGTCCCCGGGTAACGCCCGTGCACGTGTGCTCTTGGCCATGGTAAGTTGCCCCAGGTGGGGTAGGGGAGGCTGGCAACAGCACCTGGGCTGGCCCTAGCAGCCTTACCTGGGGACTTCCTGTGGCTCCAGCAACAATCTGGCAGAAGGAAGACAAACAGGCAGCTAAAGTATGGCTCTGGTCAGCCAGCCTCTAGTTTTAGGTGGTGCACACTACCACCATTTGTGCCACCCTGCTTTTTTTCTAGTGTGGGGTTTGTTTGTTTTTTTGACATTGGGCTCAAAAACATAAGAGGCTATGTTGGAACTACTGCTGGGGGGGGGGCGGGGGCTTTACAAATAGGAGTATCATTAACTTGACATCTGATCTGGCCAATTCTGAAAATCAACCCTCACACTCAAGTGTTTTACCTGTCCCTCCCTTCAAAATAACTGGGTCTACTTTGATGAGATCCTCACTAAATATCAATAGAAATTAAAGGAAGTTGTGAAGCTGCTATACGGGAAGCAGAGTCAAATGCAAAGTGGTTTGTAAAAAGATGTTTCTAACCTCTCTCTGAAAAAGGTTAGTAGGGAAAAAGTTGAAGACTTATTTTTAAAAAAATTGTAGGGAAAGAGGCAGACCCAGTTCCACATACCCAACTGTTCCAAATCCAGAGCTTTAGTATGATTTCACAGCTTTTCAGTTTCAACACAACAGATAAAATACACAAGATATAATCCTAAAGGAAAAAAAAATCCTTAAAAAACCCCCAAACCAACAAAATTTAAAAGCTCTCTAACAGCAAATGAGAATTTCTAAATTAAGGTGTCAAACATCTAAATACAAGAAAGATTCTCAACGTACAAACTCTCCTTCCACTCCAAGATTGAATGACCCTCTGAAAGAGTTGTCAATGGTTTTTAATAACAGTCCATCATTAGTTCTTTAGGAAATAACCGAATATAACTCACTGTGTGTAAGCTAATATGTTAATTGTTTTTTCCTGTAAATAATTTAATATAGAACTATACCAGACTTTGTGCTGTATTTTTTTTATATTTTTGGATAACGAACACTCTGAAAAAACAGCCAAAATGATTGTTTTGCTAATGATGAAGCATGATTGAGTTCACATATTCTTAAGATATCTTCCTTTTCTTTCTGGAAATAAAAAGGAGAGTTTGGAACCAAATAAAGGAAGGACGACATCTTCTGGTCTGCAGTGATACTGAGCATTACTAATACAAAAATACAGCTTTAGGGGACATAAGACTGCCAGAGAATATTAAGCACAGTAGTGACAGTACTGTTCAAGACTTTTAAATATTTGAAAGTGGGTACATTTTTAAAACTTGTCTGATCACTATTATGATTAAATCAATGTTGAAGCTAATATTTGCTTTCAGTGACTTCCAAGTTGGAGCTTCTCCATTTTCTTAGGAAGAAGCTAATATTATAAAAGTATTAGTCATTGCCTTTTTTTCCGTGTCGAGAATGGCATACACCATTCATTCTCTCTCTATTAAAGGTATACATAATTCCTAGTTTTGATATTGACACCCATATCAGTGGATTGTATTGAGGGTCTAAATTCTATTCAACTCCACCCCACCCAATCCTTGAAAAGCCATTAGTGTAAAATGTAGGTGGGAACTCCCGTCTTTTTTTTTTTGCAACTTATTGTTAAGGCCAAGAACAAGGCATGTGAAAGAGTTGACATATTAATGCTTTGCTTTCAGGGACACTAGCACAATTGAATAGAATCACATTTCAGCAACAGAGGTAACAGGATTTCAGCCAAAGGTCCACGCAGATTAGCTAGAATGCACTAATGAATGCAGGCACACGTTCCTCCCCCCACCCCAGACAAAAAGTTATTCCAAAACAATTAAATAATTGAAGGTTAAATAAGAATCTGATAAAATAGATATTTTTAAATTTTGCTCTTCAAGAAATTGCTCATACCTTGGAACGTGTAAGTTTTTCCAGCATTTGTTACACCATAAGTGAAAATAAGACGACTGTGTCCTTCCAAGAAGTCTTGTACTGGTTGTTTCATTGTGCCTTCAAAGAACTCTTCCTGGGTTGTTTCAGGCCCAAACACCTAAACAGTAGCAAGAGGTCACTCAACATCTTCAAATTTGAACAACCATTGGAGGCTTTTACTGCTAAGAATTTTTAAATCAGATAAATAACATATACTTATTTTGAAAAAGGACAACGTACTAATGAGCTTGAGATTAAGCAAATGTAACTGCTCGTTTAAAGAGGCTTTAACAGGGTGAATTAATTGTCTGCTTACATGCGAAAACATGAATTTCTGCATCATCTGCCCCATGTTTTTTTCACTCAGTCGACAGGCCATGGAGTTCTTCGGAGCTTTCAATATAACACTAGTCGAGTCTTGAATAGAAACACATTCCTATGAAAAGGAAAAGAAAGTGGTAGTGATGGTACATTTGCATTTTAAACTAAGTAGTACTCTAAAGTTTAATATTAAAAAGAAAGCATTTAAAACAGAAGACATACCTGAAATTCCTGTTCTTTTTCTGAAGATGTGAAAGGCCTAATTCGAAGGCAAACTTGTACATGTTCTTTGCACTCAAAGCTGTTCGGCTTAAAAGAAAAGAAATAACCATTATCTTGAAAGTTAGTCAACTTACTCAAATTCTTAGTTTAATAAGGCAACATTATTTTATTGTGCTGGTAAGTAAGGTCAATTATTTCAGGTTTTACTGTCCCTTATATTATCTATTATAGTTCACTCAACTAAGTTACATGTTTTTCAGTCTCAGCAGAAGTTGGTTTTAAAAAGTACTACATGGCATTAAGTTCAAGGCAAGAAGCAAAAATAAGAACTATCAATACACTTGTATGCTATCCTTTCTTAGCTGGGGAATCATTTTTAACTTAAGAGGGGCTGAGCAAGATGAAACAGATTTTTGCCAACATTTTCTACAGAATACTGGTTATACTTATCAGCTTCTGGTTGGTAATTAAACTATGGTGTAAGGAAGATGCTGTTAGCGTTGTCCTTCTATTACAACATACCAGCTAACTGCCCGTCAGAAATGACTGGAGGGGGTGGCAGGGGGGGAGGAAGAGGGGATGGAGTGCCATCACCTAACACCCCATGCTGCCACTGTTCTGCCTCTTGCAGGGAGCAGGGTGGGGGAGCCAGGGCCAGTGCTAGTGCTGCTGGCTTCAACTCAGCTTTGGAATTATGGCAGTGCTCCCCCACACTTGGAGCACTCCGATTGGCTGTTTTTGTCAGCTAATCAGAGCGTGAATAAAGTGTTACAGACAGACAGACAGACTTAGGCTTTTATAATATTAGAATGGTACAAGATATGTGTATGCAGATAGGATGCATGTGCATTCCTTATGGCTCAACACTTCTGTATTTCCCTGCCTGCACTGACATGTGGCAGTCCTTTCAAGTGTATATACTTGAAGCAATCACAAAGTGTGACAGGCCTACCAAGGCAGAGATGCAACAGCACCAACTTTAGTACTCCCCTTCCATGTTTAAGCAGAACTATGCATACATTATTCTTTAAAATAATAGAACTAATTAAAGTACCACAGTGAGACATTGCAATGCAAGCTCATTTTAAAAGTTTGAGGTGACAATGTACTATCTTATTCTCACCTGACTTATATTCAAGCTTGAAGCAGCCAAGGAAAATTCATCAGAGAGGTTTGTTTTGATATCTTCAACATTTACTGGGCCAGTTCTCAAAGGCAGCTCAACACTGGCAATATAGGATGGTCTAAAAATTGTTTCTGTATCCAGAACTGGTTCCATTCTGCAAAAACTAAAAAGCCAATTATTTAAGTATCACAGCATAACCAAAAATAACCAAACAACAAACATAGTGCAAGTTAAAAAATTCACACAATGCACAGAAGTGTCCAATACATAAATCATGCTGGAACAAGAGTTACTATTATCCAAGAAGAGCTGGGAAGTTGCAGCAAATATTAATTAAAGCATCTCCAACCTGAAAGGCTGAAGCAAGAGGATGCCAACAATCGTGCATCTTTATCAGACACATTCTGTGACCTTTAATATTACTGTATTTTCTCATGTAACACATGCCCCCAAATTAGGGATATACATATATTCAATTTAAGGGGCAGGGGTGCATGCGAGCACCCTTTAACCTATTGTAATTATGGCTGTTAAATGATAATTGCTACAACCTGAAGTGTGCAAACATGATTCACAAAATAAGCCCAAAGGGTGCAAATACAAATCCAGAGCCTTGGTCTGCTAGGGTCTTTCCGAGTGCTTCGCCACAGAATTGCTTTAGTATTTTTCAGTAACCAAACAAGGGAAACCCAAGAGCCCGCAAGGCGCCTCGAGCCTAAGGAGGCGGAGAACCGCTGCCCAAAACATTTGCACGGAGCCTTTCGGTCCACACGGGGCTCTGCTGCCTCCCCCTGCACCCTGCGGAAGGGCAGCGGCCGCCGAAGCTTGGCCCACTGCCCTCCGAACGGGACAGCCGCAGCCATGACGGGCCCGGCAGGGCAGCGCAGCGCGTCTGTCTGCCGCCGAGGACCCGGAGCTCCGCCAGGCGAGCCCAGAGCGGCACGTCACCACCGCCGCCACGCGGGTCGGGTCGGGTCTGACCCATCCACTCACCCGCGCGAGCCGCCCCGGCCCGGCCGGACCGCTGCAGCCTACGTCGCGGCACTTTTTCAAATACACCCAATAAGAACGCGCGGTGCTGCGCAGCATCATGGGAAACGAGAGCCCGGGGGAATCATCCCAGCGAGTGGGATTCTGGGTAGAGTCGGGCATGCTGGTAAGTGTAGTTTCAGCGAAGAGGCGGGCTCGTCCCTTTGCCGCCTGCTGCTGCTTGACCGGGGCGGGACCTGCTGGGGGCGCCCTGGCGTTGGCGGCTGCTTTCTGGGCCCGCTGGGAGGTGGCGGCGGGGGTGTCCTGTTCCAGGGCCTGAATGAGCCGCCTGTGGGTGCGGTGCCCAGCAGGACCCATGCTCCGGGAGCCCGGGGGCCACATCTTTACCCCCCCCCAGCTATGTTCACCCTCTTTCTCTGCTCAGTGCCTGCTCTACAACTGCTCCCTCAGGCGCGCAGAGAAGGGGTGGGAGGCGCCTCCGCACGTCATGCAGTGCAGTCGCTTCCAGTCTCCTTTGTACCAGCATCCATTTGTAAACAGCGCTGGCCAGTCCCATCCCAGTACCCCTCACCCCTGGCCCACTACCCCCAGCCCTCCCAGCGTGTGGCTGGGACTACGAGTCTGCAAGGCAAAAGCCACCGTTTCTCACATTTTGCTCTTTTAAAGGAGAATCCATTTTTAAAGTTTGTTCACAACCCTTTCATATGTTCTTGCAGCCCACTTTTGGGTCACAACCCACGGGCAGGGAAATGCTGATCTAGTCCAGCCCCCTGCTTGAAGCGGGAATTGGGATCAGTGCTATCCAAGCTATCCCAGACACCTCCATGCTGCAGCTGATGCAGAGCGGCTGGGAAGCACAGAAAGCAGCTGGCCGACTGCTACTGCGAAAGGCTCCAGAACTGCGTCTGCAGGATTCCAGCACCAAACTGTGCACAGACCTTCACAGTTCAATCATAGGTGCATGCAGGGCCTGATCCAGGGGGTGCCATGGTGCAGTCATGCCCCTCTTTGATCCTGCTCCATGCAAATTTTAAAGCGAGCGGGTGGTGGCAGCAGCATTTCTAGGCAGGCAGCAGTGAGGGAGTTGCATGATTTCATTACAGTCTCCTGGATTCCTTTTGAACTCCTCATTCCACAGGCTGTCATGACCTTTTCTTCTTTTTAATGGTCTTGATGTTCCAATAATCAAACTGCCATTCTGCTGTGTGTTCACTGCTCCTGGTAATACGACTCCTATTTCACAGCACTGCAGACTGTTTTAACTAGCTGAAAACAGTAACTTGGGTATGGAAATAACTATCAAGATGTTCAAGAAGGTTAAGATTTTATGAATCTGAAAGAGATGTACTCTAATTACTGCAAGATGACAGAAATAACACCTTGTTTGTTTGGTTTTTTGCCTGGTTTGTTGAGTTTTATACACCATACAATACAACCTCATTAGCTCAAAATACAAGGGACCAAAAAGTACAGACTTAAAAATAAATGGGTTCAAAATAACCGTATTGATAGTAAATTGAGTGTTTGTAAGTTACTATGGATACATACAGACTGAATTGCCCATGTACGGATCTAACTAGTAAGAACAAATTGAGGAGTTATCCTAGTGACTATTTAAGCTATAGACCAGCAGCGATGATGTAGGGCCCCTTTTTCTTCCACTTAGGTCCATCTAGGTGTAGACTTGTTTCACTATCCCCCTGATGCCACTAACCACCACCATGGACCTGGCATCCCCATGATTGTGCATGTAGCTAGGGCTGCTGCCCCCACCTGCATCTGTGTGCCTACCACCCCTGCAGATGCCCCTGCATCCTGACACTTACTGTCCGGAGCCCCAGCTGTTCTTCATGCTCCCGTGCTGAACTGCAGTTTTTCCAGGCTGAGCCCTGGCTATTCCTTGTGCTCCTGCCACCTTGGGCATTACTGGGCTAACACCCAATTGCACCAACCTGCAGTTTTTCCAGGCTGGGGGCTTCATGAGACAGGCCTGGGGACCTCCCTGCTACAGGAATCCCTAGAGACTGGGAGTGCCAGAGGAGGGCAGTAAGTGCCAGGGGGCAGGGAAGTCTGCAGGGGCAAGATGTGAAAGAGGCATCCCCAGCTACCTGTACTATCAGGGGTGGGATTGGAGGTGTGTAGCAGGGTGGCATCCTTGTTGGGTCTCTGCTGGATGCCCTGTTCCTGGGGTAACTGCCCACTTCACTCATCTACCGCACCTTGATGGAAAAATGTGAAAGTTGTTACTAGGGCAGGAGACTACCCATTACTGGCTGACAAGGGCCTTAATACCCACTCTGACCTCCCCTCCATGGGTCCCATGCCTCACAGATGTTGCTTTGTATGCATTACCTCTCCGGCCTAAGGGCAAACCGGGCACACAGTTCTAGCTCTACTCTACAGCCCTGGAGGGCCACTTGCACGCCACCCCTCGCTCACTGGGGTCCCATTCACTCTGCTGGCTCTCACCCAGCCTCTTTCATACTGACCTCTCTCAGGGAGACACTCATACCACCTGGCTGCACCTGGCTTTGGGCTTGTCTCTCCATGCTTCAGTCAGCCCCAGCACAGCCTGTTGGGTATCTCCCACTACCCTCACCTGAGCATTGACTAAGCAATTCTAGAACTGCTGGCCTACTTCACTCCTGGCCCCTTGCCAGGCCACTATGCCCGCACTGGACTTCCACCTCGCATATTCATGGGGCCCCTACTCACTTGCCCACTCTAGTCATCACCCATCTCTCTCTCTCTGGGTTTCGCTCACACCACCAGGTTTTATCCTGCTGGCTGGGAACAGCCCCAGGTCCCTCCTCTAGCCTGAGCTTTGCCTCGGGGCTCCTTAACGAGCCCTGGGCTCCCCCTGCTCATTAGAACACTACCAGGAATGTGGGGCTGGGGTTATAAAGGTACCCTGACCCACCTTTCACCAGGGAGGTAAGTGGCCTGGCATTTCCTGGGGTTTCCCACACCACCAGGAGCCCCACCAGACCACCCTTCCCCAGCAGGGTGCAGTTTTACATCTCACCCAGCACAACGGGTTACCTCCAACCCATAGCCCCTTCCCTTATCTTCTGATATTCCCAGAGTAGGCTCTCAGCCTGACGTTACCTTCTTCCTTCCTGCAGCAAACTGCAGCCCAGCTTACAGCACTGGGCCAAAATGACTGCACTCATCAGGCACCTGGCTGCTACCTGTTTTCTGCCTTTAACGTGGCAAGGCATCAAAAGGTGCCCTGCCACAGGGTGGAAGGACTGGGGGCAGTTTCACAGGATCAAGGGTACCAGGTCCACGGGTGTTTTGGTGGGATTGGTGGTGGGATAGTTCCACGCTCAGGTGGATCTAAGTGTGGCGTCTCTAGCAGGCGTGGTGAGTACCGCACCGTCCCCCTTTACCAGAGTGCCCCTCAACATCAAGTCGTGGCAGAAGTGTTAACAGAAAAAGAAGGGGTTCAGTGGAGTTCTTCTTTCCGGATGTCCTGGTGACGGGGGTACTCACATTAGTGACGCAATGTTCCTTGGGGCTTCGCCTCCCCTACACCCTGTCCACTCGCTAAGTGCTCGGAGGTTGGATTTCGTTGTTCTGCCATTCCCTGTAAGCCCCTTTTCCAAGGGGTCAGGTGTCAGCTTCGGCATCGATCAATTGCCTAGCTGTTAAGGCGGCTGGAGACCCAGTCCCTGGTGCCAAAGGGCTGGGCTCCCATTGTCTGGTGTCCTTCTCCCTTTGAGTGAGAGGGACGCCCCTCTAAACTTTTGATTGCCATTGGATGGGGACTGATTTTCCCCAGCCCAGCGCAGGACATTGCTCCCCTTTGCTCCTGGGGTGGATGCAGCGCCAGCTCCAATACTTCAGCCAGCCTCTCCAGTCACCGCCTGCCTGGCAGGCTCCCTGCTGGCTCGCTCCATCTCCTTCCCCCATTGCCAGCTTCCAGCGGGGTTTTTACAAATCCCACAGTGGCGTCCACAGCCGCCAATTATCCCACCACACCCCCACCATGGTAGCAGCTGTTTAAAGAGCCTGCGTAACGCCAGCTCGCATAGTGATGGCTTGAGCCGTGCTCCCGGAGGTAAGTTTCCCAGGGTGTGGGGGGCCTGCTTATTCCCTGTGGGGGTTCTCAGGGTTCCCCCCAGTCCCCTTAGAGCCTGCAGGGGCTTCTTGCTGCCACAGACTTCCCCCCTTAAGCTGCCTTGTGGCATCTTGACAACTTTTAAAGCCTTCTGTATAGCCTGATGTTCCCTCTTATGTGCTACATGTGCCTCCTTGGTTGGATTCTCCGTCCAGATACCTACAGAGGAAATCAGCCATGAGGTTATCCTTGCCAGGGCGGTGCATTATTGTGAATTTGAATGGTTGAAGAGCAAATGCCCAGTAGGTAATGCGTGTATTTTCACTTTGTTTTTTGGTTAACCGCTACAGTAGAGCATGGTCTGTCACCACCAGGATCTCCCGGCCCATCAAATAATATTTAAAATACTATCACCCAGCATATAGCTAGGCACTCCCTCTCTATTGTGGCATACCTGGTCTTGGCTTGGCTGAGTTTTCGGCTTGTGAAGGCGACCAGGCATTCTTCTCCCTCCCATCTCTGCAATAGGACAGCCCCCGGGTCGCTGCCAGATGCATCCGTCTGTAAAATAGAAGGAGGGAAGTCAGGAGTATGTACCACCATCTCGCAACACATGGCTTCCTTCAGAGCTTAGAAGCTTCTTTTCATCTCAGATGTCCATTTTAGTGTCCCTGACGCCCATTCTTTGAGAGCAGCCATGAGGGGTGCTGCAAGTTCCACAAAGTGTGGTATGAACCTTCGATAATAGTTGATAAGCCCCAAAAAGGAACAGAGTTGCTGACAGTTGTGTGGTTCCTGAAACTGACATATTGCCTCCACCTTGTCTGCCAAGGGTCAGATAGTCCCCCATCCTACACGAAACCCCAAGTACTTGGTTTCTGTGTATTTTGGGGATTGGCGGTCATCCCAGCCGCTCGAAGCTCTCCCAAGACCACTCTCAGGGCATCAAGATGCTGGGGCCAATCTGTGGTGAAGATGACTATGTCAATGTTAACTGCTGTACACGCTACGTGTGGTGCCAGCAGGGCATCCATAAGCTTTTGAAAG